GGAGAGGCGGGGGAGAGAGGGGCGGGTGAAGGGAGAGTACAAGGGGAAGGGGTGCGGCGAAGGAGTGATGGGGGGAGGTACAAGTGGAGGGGCTGCGAGCGGGATGGGGGGGTGCAGGGGCTGAGAGGGGCAGGTGCTGACAGCTGCTTCCCCAGCCCCGTGCAGGCAGAGCCGAGAGGACGGACATTGACCCCCAGGTGCCCGAGTCGTGGGGGTCCCCCGGCAGGGCAGTATCCCCTGCTGCCCCGCTCGGAGCCGGGCTCTGCCTCTCCCCGCCCCTGGCGCTGTGGGGGCCCGGGGCAAGCAGTGCGGGGCTAAGGCGGGGGAGGTGCATGATGGGCTGGGTCCGGGGGCAGGAGGAGGCAGCTCGGGCTGCCCAGCCACTCGCCCCATCAGTGCGCGAGCCGGGATCCGCGCCCCCTGCCCAGCCCGGCGGTGCCCTGCACAGCCCCCTCGGGCGGGGAAATGCCGCGCCGCCCTGGGGAGGAGACTCAGAGCAGCAGCGGAGACAGCAGCAGGACCCCTCCTCCCTCCCTGCATACAGGGCCCCGCTTCCCTCCCTCCCCGGCTCCTCACACACTCCGGGAGCCCCTCTCGCCACCGCAGCCCGGGCTCGGCTCCAGGGGACGATGCTCTGGCTCTCCAGCGGCGGGGCTCTGGCCAGGGCTGGCTCCCGGCTTTTTGCTGCCCCAAGCAAAAAAAAAAGGGGCCGGAGTGCCCCTTGGAAAGTGCTGCCCCAAGCACCTGCCTGGAGCGCTGGCGCCTAGAGCCGGCCCTGACAGGAACGCTCTGCAGAAGAGACGCGGGGACAGGTGTCACTACCTAGCGCACAGCGAACGCGCCAGCAGGGGGCGCTACAAATCTCAATTGTGCATCGTGCCCATGTCGGGCAAAATCTCTGGGGCTGGTGCTGTCAGAGCCCAGCAATCCCTGATGTTCCAGGGCAGTGACTGAGGGGGTGGGACATGGGCTGGGGGCTGCTTGCACTGGGTGGCCCCTGGTTCGCCTGGCACGGGTCACGTTATCGCTCCGCACCCGCCATGACTGTACAGCCCTCGAGCGCGTCCCCCCGGGCGTCTCTTTGCCAAACTGACCAGCCCCCGTCTTTTCAATCTCTCCTCAGAGGGAAGCTGGCTCACAACCCCAGATATTCTTGTTGCCCGTCTCGGCCCCTTTCCCAGATCTGCCCGCAGCGTTCACTCCCCCTGTCCTGGAGGGGGCGGGCGGGGGGACGAGCCGGGTCTGGCAGCTCCAGTCCCCTGAATGCGCCAGAGTCAGATGGACCCGAAAGCAGCCGGAGCCTTTCCCAGCGGGGGCTGATTCCGGGAAACACTTGGGATGTGTCGGCCGCGCGAGCAGGGCCCTGGCGGGAGCTGGGGGGCTCTGGGTGGACATGCAGGGAGGGGTCACCAACGACCTTCAGCTGGAAGAAAACCCAACGGGAACCAGCGGCAGCGTTTCATTTCGAAAGGCCGGTTTATCATAGAATCATAGAATATCAGGGTTGGAAGGGACCTCAGGAGGTATCTAATCCAACCCCCTGCTCAAAGCAGGACCAACCCCAACTAAATCATCCCAGCCAGGGCTTTGTCAAGCCAGGCCTTAAAACCTCTAAGGAAGGAGATTCCACACCTCCCTAGGCAGGGCCGGCTCCAGGCACCAGCTTGGCAAGCAGGGGCTTGGGGCAGCCACTCCGGAGAGGGGCGGCACGTCCGGCTATTCGGCGGCAATTTGGCGGACGGTCCCTCACTCCCGCTCGGATGGCGTGAGAGAGAGAGGTGTTCATTGCCCCTTTAAGTAGCTGACCCCACTCTTAAGTACATTGCCTTGCTACGTTAATCAGCAAGCTGAGACCCGCAGCTGCTGCCAGGGAGCTCCCTCCGCCCTGAGCCCTGTCGTGTGCCCCCCCTGCTCTGTGGAGATGGGGTAAGCGGGGGGCAGGAGCAGGGGGAGGGGGACACCCTGACATTAGCCCCCCTCTTCTCCCCCCGCACAGCAAGCAGGAGGCTCCGGGGAGCAGCACAGGGCAGTGGGGGCGGGACAGCTGCAATTGGT